AAAAAAAAAAAAAAAAAAATTCACCCTTTTAAAGCATGTAGTTGAGTGATTTTTATTCACAGAGATTTTTAACTGATAGGTTTGTGTGACACAAAAATATGCCAAATCTTTTTTTCTAAAATTATCTAATATTTCATATTGTAGTCCAAAATGCTACAAAAATTTGACATTTCATTATATCAGTTATTTGTTTATATTTTGACCATAATTTCTTTGTAAGAACAGTTTATGGAAAGTTATTTCAATTCTTTTGACTTTGATAGAATATTGATTATAATCCTTTTGCTAATAGTCCAAATTTTAGTAAATGTAATGTTTTTGTGTTAGAAATTTGCAAATTAAATAAACTAAGTTCATATTCTATCCACTATCATATTGTAGGATAGTGTGTCTCTTCCTATTTACACTCTTTCTTTTGTAGTAACATGAAGGCAGATATGGATCATAGTGATGTTTCTTTTTGCAGTGATATAATTTCCAAAGAAAGTGAATTAAAGGAGAATATAATTTTTTAAGCAAACTTTCTAATGTATCATCTAAACTTACTCTTAAATTATTTTTAAAATATGTAAATAAGAACATTATAGTCTTAAGAAACCTTTTAACTACATTTATTTGTTTGTTATTTGTTTAATAATTTAAACCAGCAGTTCTCAACCTGTGGGTCATGACCCCTTTGTAACAATGAAAATACATCCTGCATATTGGATATTTACATTACGATTCATAACAGTAGCAAAATTACAGTTACGAAGTAGCAACAAAAATAATTTTATGGTTGGGGGTCGCCACAACATGAGGAACTGTATTAAAGGGTCACAGCATTAGGAGGCATTAGGAAGGTTGCGAATCACTTATTTAAACAAATTACTTTTTACAAATAATGTAAAAGATGTAATTTGTTTAACTACATTTATTATTTTTTAAATGCCAAAAAGCAAACTTTCTCGATGTTAAAAATGACTAAGCCATGTTATTGTTTTCATTCTTTAATGAGTAATTTTAGCTGTTTTTTTAAATATTAAAATTTTAGTATTTTAATTATTTCCCTCTCATAACCATATAAAAGCACTATTTTGTGTTTTTCACAAGAATGTCTTACTTAATTTACCTTTGTGAATTTGGATTATTTTTATAAACTTACATTTAATGTATAACTTGAAAAATAAATTTTAAACTATGTAAATTATTAGTCCTTTAGGAACAATATTTTTGTTTTATTAAGTCAGTAGCTTACTAAAAGTAGTCATTATCATGTTAGCAAAACAATTGAAAAACTCTGAATGTCAGAACCCTGTAAAACTGATTTGGGGTCCGAATCTTCAAAAACTTCTTGTTCTCTTACCTCCACTAAGTGTCATATTCTTGGCTCCTTTCTAAAACTCTAATAATTTCATTTTTGTGTAACATTTTTTATGAAGGCCAAACATGGTGATCCATGTATGTGATGAAGCAAAAAACTTGAAAGAAGATTTTATTTGCCCACGAGATCTTTTGATATCAGAAATGAAGTACTTTGCTGAATATTTATCTATGGATGCCCAGCGCTGGGAAGAGGTGGACATTTCAGTTCATTGTGACGTTCACATTTTCAACTGGTTGATAAAATATGTTAAAAGGAACACTAAGGAGAATAAAGATTGTGAGATACCCACTTTAGGTAAAAAATAATGTATTACTTATTTTGTAGTGAAATTTGCGTGTCACCTGGTAGTTTCTTCAGGCCAAAAGTAAAATGTGGAAAGTGGTTTAGATGTTAGTATTTATGCTTTTATTAGTAACACCTTTTTAAGAAACTGATACCTCAAGTTACAATAAATTTATGGCAAATGGATAGATCTTTAGATTAGCAGTTCTCAGTATATGGTCTATGAGCCACCAGGGTACTAGAGACCCTTTCAGAGGATCCAAAAGGTCAAAATAATTTGCACAATAATACAAAGATATTATTTTGCTTTTTCACTGTATTAACATTTGCTCAGATGGGCTCGGCGCCCATAGCACAGTAGTTATGGCGCTGGCCACATATACCGAGGCCGTCGGATTCGAACCAGGCCTGGGCCAGCTAAACAACAATGACAACTGTAACAAAAAAAATAGTTAGGCGTTGTGCTGGGCATCTGTAGTCCCAGCCACTTGGGAGGCTGAGGCAAGAGAATTGCTTAAGCCCAAGAGTTTGAGGTTGCTGTGAGCTATGATGCCATAGCACTCTACCGAAGTTGACATAATAAGACTTTGTCTCAAAAAAAAAAATTGCTCAGATGATGCAAAAACAATGGTGAATGAAACTTGCCGTGGTTTTCGACCTGTGGGCTATGACCCACAGAAACTGTATTAAAGGGCCATGGCATTAGGAAGGTTTAGAACCACTGTGTTGGAGTTTTAGCCCACATCAAGGCAAAGGTACCAGATTATACTGGTAGTACATAGTTACATTGTTAAAAAATAAAAGAGAAGAAGAGAATCCAGTTTCACTTAAGAATGTCCTTGGTGGTTGGTGGTGCCTGTGGCTCAGTGAATAGGGCACTGGGTGGCGAGTGTGAACCTATATGCCCAGGGTGGCAGGTTTGAACCTGGCCCTGGCCAACTGCAACAAAAAAATAGCCTGGTGTTCTGGCAGGCGCCAGGAGGCTGAGGCAAGAGAATCGCCTAAGCCCATGAGCTGGAGGTTGCTGTGAGCTGTGACGCCATGGCACTCTACCAAGGGTAACAAAGTGAAACTCTCTTAAAAAAAAAATTGGTGAAACAATAAAAATTACTAATCTTTTTAATTCTGGACCCTTGAATATATTCATCTATCTTATTTTTATTTATTTATTTTTTTGCAGTTTTTGGCCAGGGCTTCATTTAAACCCACCACCTCCAGCATATGGGGCCAGGGCCCTACTCCTTTGAGCCACAGGCGCTGCCCAATATATTCATCTATTTAATATTACCGATGAAATGAAAAGTACACTCCTACACACCAACATATAATGGTTTTCTTTAGTGAAAGCTATTGGATAATTATTTGAACCGTTAAGCAACACTAGCCGCTTTTTTAATTTTTCATTTTATTTATTTATTTGAGACAGAGTCTCACTATGTTGCCCTTGGTAGAGTGTCATGGCATCACAGCTCACAGCAATCTCTAACTCTTGGGCTTAAGTGATTCTCTTGCCTCAGCCTCCTTAGTGGCTAGAACTCTAGGTGCCTGCCACAACTCCCGGGTATTTTTCTGTTGCAGTTGTCATTTTTTTTACTGGCCCGGATGGGTCTGAACCAGCTAGCCTTGGTGTATGTGGCTGGCGCCTTACCCACTGAGCTTCAGGCGCCACCTGCTTTTTTTAAAATACAAAAATATAAACCTATTTTTACTTGAGAGAATGACTGACAGAGAAGTTATAGTTATTTAGAGTTAGCTACTTGGCAGACATTTTCTTGAAAATGAGTTAAGGAAATAAAATATTTGTTGTCAGTGATAAAATTCAAGCTTTCAAGTGAGAATTTACAGTTTCAGAAAAATTACCTGCTTTCTTGTGCTTCACACCATTTTAATTCTTTTTTTTTTTTTTTTTTTTTTTTTTGAGATTTTTCCTTTGGAATTAATTTCGAAGTTGGGGA